TCGAGGTCAATGTGAGAGAGACACATCGATTGGTTACCTCCCACACATGCCTTGACCAGGGCAAGGGATCAAGCCTACAACCGAGGTACTTGCCCTTGGTCGGAATTGACCCCAGGACCCTTCAGTCCATGAGCTGATGCTCTAATCACTGAGCAAAACCAGCTAGGGCTCAGTAAGCACTTTTTAAATTTCAGTCCAACTTCTACCTAGAATATTAGGAATTGTGAGGGTCAAGAATTAATTGCACAGCTTTGTCTAAATTCATGGGCTAGGTTTCAATATGTCACTACTGTCACCAGTGCCCTCCTGCATCGAGAGACAATGTTCATGAATCTAAACGTTGGAAACAAAAAGTTTAAAGATAAGTGTGCTGTTTACTTAGAGATCTTAAAAATAATTCCTTCAATGTGTCTTTTAACTAAAACTTCAAACAGCAAGTACTCTGTTTCATTTTAAAAAGGGAAAAGTTTGAGCTGCATGAACATCACCTCTGTCCCACTGCAAGGTTAAAGTGCCTGTCTTCAGTCATTCAGGAGTATCATGTGCGTCACACTGAGGTTTAGTAGTCTTGGCAATAATGACTAGATCCATGCAAACCGGGGCAACTGAGACGGGCTCCGTAGCAGATAGCAGCCTTTTTTAAAGCCAAGAGCCGCCACTCAGCAGACAGGCTGCCACAGAACCCTGCGAAATCTTTCCTGTGGCTAGACTGACGGGGAAGGAATTGGGAGTGCTTTGCCTGCACTTAGGAGCCTTTCTCAGTCTTCTCAGTGCACTAGTTATCTACAACTTAACCAGGTGCGCAACATCTTTCAGGGTCAGACTCAGACCACCACTCAGATAAATGAGGGAGGACAGGTATGAAAACTTGGTGTTTAGGTTTTTAAAATTATTTTTTCTGAAATATTCAGCCTTAAAAATTTCCCTTATACTAATAAAAATAAATAAATACACTGTTTCCATTTTGGAAATGGCACAAAGATTCTCCTCCACTCTCACTCTGCCAGCAACCCCACCCTTCTTAAGTGTGTGTGGAGGGGAGGCAGTCAGCTTAACCTATTCTAAAGAAGGTTAAAACGGCCCAACAAAGTGACCACGTTTCAAATACACAGCCTGATTCTAATTCTACCACATATTTCCAATGGATCAAGTAATAAATAAAATGAACATGCAAACCACTTATCAATCATTGTTTATTACAACACAGCTTCCTTGAAAAAAAAGTTTCAAGCTTTAGGCTAAATCTAAAGTTTATAACAAAGGTAAATATACAGTTTTTAAAGTCCAAGACCCTGAATCATCTATCCTCCCTCCATCCATTCTCTAACATGTACAAATACGTGACAAAACATAAACTTCAGAACGCTTCCTAAGGGCTGAATTTAAGACCTGCCAGGTCAGAATGGACTTCTCAGTAAACTCAGACAGTCAAAAGAGTAGGGTGTCACAAAAGGCACAGATCTGCAAATCCCTTTTTGCATACCAGGAATTCTGGGGGTAAAGTAGTTGTCCCTAACTTTGCAATACAGTGCTAGAGTCCTACAAGCAGAGACCTAAATACACACATGTGCAGAAATGGGATTTTCATAGCAAAATGTCCCCAACAACTTTAATCACTTACCTTTCAAGGTAACTGACCACAAGCTTTTAGCACTATGAACTTGTGTTTAACAACCTCAAGGGACCTAGTCAAAACTGAACACTAAGCAAGTATAAGCAATAAAATTTTCATCGAAGATTTTATGTCTGAAATTTTCAAGCCTGTAAGTTGTAGGAAACGCATTAAGAAAAGAGAATTCCTTTGAAAACACATTAGAGCTTCTTAATGACTCAGAATTCATAAAAATCAAACCTTTCTAGATATAGTCTAATATTTTGTAATACAAAGCTAACTTTAGAATTTACTTAGTAAGCATCTGCAAACAAATGGGGAAAGTTCATTTTACCCCCACATTGCCTTTACAAAATATCTTCCTTTGCCATCAAAATGTACACATCCTTCTTGGTTCTCAAAATTGTTAAAGTGGTTAAATCTTAAACCACCGAGGTGCTTTAAAAATCACTAACCAGGTGATTTAAAGAGCCATCAGTGACAAACGTAGATTGTAGACAGTAGCTATCTTTGGCTCTGAAGTGTTAGAACGTCACCCATTAACTCTTATGTTAACGAGATTTACTTTATAGAAAAGAATTGCATAAGTATGCTTTTGATAAATATACTAAATCTAAGACAAAATTTAAGATGACTTTTGAGTTTGTACCAGATGTCAAAAAATAGGTTTCTTGATGCCCAACCCACTGAGGCACGCCAGCCAGGGCTCTCATATGCTTCTATAATAAAGCATGCAACCACATAACACAGAAAGCGAAGGTCAACCTATGAACAGGTTGTGTTAGAAATGTTCCAAAAGATTCATTTATAAATTAAATATAAGCTCAAGATGCCTTTTCTCAAAAAACCAAAGATATAAACAATGGTATTAAACCCTTAATACAAATTAACCTTAGTGCACAATTCTATCAAAACACTCTTCTGTTAAGCACATTTCCACACCAAACTGTAAGTTTCTTATTCACTGCTGTATCTTAGAATCTAACACAGTAGATGACACACAGTAGGATTTCAATAAATATTAGCTGGTCGGAAGTACTGAATAACAGCAGCTTAATGATATGAAACTGAGTTGTCTAGAAACCCTTACCTATCTGAACTATAGCAGAGAAATAAAAAGCAAAGCAAGCGGAAAAAGCTTCTTCCAAAAGAGGTATGAGAAAAAAATGCTTAGCACTGAGGTTAGAACACTCTGGAGTAAATCAGTTGTGGCAATTTCCACTCCCCTTGCCAGTGGGTAGTTTAGCAATATGCACCTTATGCAATTGCGGCCAGGAAGACAAGAGACTGAACTTGCTGTGGGAGCTTCTGAGAAAGGTTTTCCTGGCTGATGAAAAAAGACACCTGATGAAAACGCCCATTTTTTCCCAAGCAACTCTGGGTTTCAATTTATCAGGCAGAACTATGGCAGCCATCCTAGGACCATGAGGAAGGACACAGCCTAAGAGGACAACCCAGCAGATACAAAGTGACAGCATCAAAAGATGGAAAGAAACTGGGTCCTTAGTGAGGTTCTTATGCTTGGGCAGATTAATCCTTGAACCATTTATTAAGTTGGATCTTTTAATTATATTAAATCCTTTTATTGTTTAAGCAGTTTTCAATTATCAATAGTAACCCAGCAGATGCAGTGAGTTAAGAACAAATACACCATTTATTTTCATGAATTCAACTGCTATCTACACAGACAACTCTCCTAAATTTGTATCTCAATCCGGATCCTTCTTTTGAACTAGATACATATTTCCAAACTACCAAACAGCTATATTAAATATATTTTTTAGTAGAGCATCAAGACAACAGGATTAATATAAAACCCATCACAAAAACTGTTTATGCCCCGGTATTCAGTTTCCTGGCTAATGGCAGTACCACCTACCTAACTGTCAACGTCTGAAATTTTGGGATCTCTAGCCCTACACCTCACTCTGCTTCACGTATTATACTTAGGCAGCTAAATATGAAAATTACTAAATGTTGTCTATTCTGATATATCTTTAAAATCTGTCTCCCTCATCTCTATACACATCCAGTGCAGGCACTCATCTTCATGTAGCCTGCCCTCCACTCCTACCTCTTTCACTGTACCTGTGTTTCTAAAATAACAACTGTGCCTCATGAAAAAATTATAGACATAATAGTCATTAGGAAAATACAAATTAAAACTACAATGAGATACCACTACATACCCACCAGAATGGGCATAATAAAAAAGACAATACCAAATGGTGGTAAGGAAATGGAGAAATGAACTCTCACACACTGCTATAAAATGATGCAGTCAGTGTGGAGAAAAGTTCGGCAATTTCTTGAAAAGTTAAATATAAAAAAAACTCACCATATGAACCAAAATTCCCTCTATAAGAACCTGAGAGAAATAAAAATATGTGTCTACACAAAGATTAACTTACAAATGTTCTCAGCATTACTCATAAGAGCCCCAACTGGACACAATCCAAAACAAAGTGAGGCATAATCACACAATGGAATACTATCAGTTAATAAAAAG